CAAACTGATGAAGATGTTTTCTTAATTTGCTGGTGTTTTTTCAATTTGCATGTGTTTTCTTAAGTTGCAGTGCGTTGAGCTCTCTCGGCCACCGTATAAATGCCCCAAAACAAGGTACAATTAAAGTGCTTTCATATAGACCAATTTAGAGTAGACGTCACAGTTACGTCACTTGTGCGCATAGTGGTTGCAGAAAAACACTGGGAACAAGTGGAGGTAAATGGGTAAAATCCATGGAATAAAAGAAAAAAAAAATGTTTGTGCCTTTTGATGTCAAGATCGGAATGCAAATAATTTTTAAAGAATGCTGTCGTCAAAGACGCTTATCGCTGGGTGACAAGCTCTTGTAATGTGCGTAGAACATTTTGAAAATGACATATAATCAATATAATTTATAATCTTTTTAAACCTAACTATTTTGTACCGTATCCATGAAATTCTCTAGCTGTAAAGGCTATCTCTCCCGGGTTTTCTGCAACCATGATGCGCGCGCATCCTGAATGTTTACAAACCGATAATTGGTTTATAGCGCTAGTGTTTTGATCTATGCTGAAAATGTTTTTACCTTCAGGGAGGGGTTGACCGGCTGCATGCTGACAAACGATAGGATGTAGCCTAGTTTGATTTCAGCTGATTGTAGGTACATAAATCACTTCATCCAGTGGTTCTTGTTTGTGACGTTATTTTAGCTGTTATCGTTTTATGATCGATTGAGAAACCGCTCCAAACAACTGCGTGGTGCCTGCCGGACCCTTTCGAATGATTCGTGAACTGATTCCGGTATAGTTTGACCGATTCTTTATAAAGAACCGACTCACTATTTAATGAGGCATCTCAAGTTTTGTTTGTAAACGGTCGAGTGTACGGATACACAACTTGTTTGCTGAAATATTGCTAGGGGAAATATTTCTCCCTGTTGCCTATATGTAGCCTGTGGTTGATAGACCCTGACACTACAGTTACAGTGGTTGAATAAGTCTATCACTCTGATGAGCTTTGTCCACCTTCTCCATCCGATGAGGTACAACAGCTAAATCCAATACTTGGTGAGGAATCAGATTAATATGACAAGTTCTCACAAATGTATTTATTTATTTAACACTATTTAATTGTTTTTTGTTTTGTTTTTATAACTAATTTTGTTATTTTATATACTTTGAGGAGGTTGTAGGTCTTTTTAAGTGTAAGATGGGATTGTGTAGCGGTATAGTTTTTTGAAAAGGGACCAGGGATCAAGTTTTTGGTGGTGGAGATTTTTAATTTATATTTATGAATTTGGTAGCCACTTAATGCAAAGCGACTTAAGTTTCATTGAAGTTACACATTTACTTTTTGTTGTTGTTGTTGTTGTTGTTGTTTTTGCTTTACCTTGGAATCAAACCCATGACCCTGCATTAATGCCATGCTCTACTGTTTGAGCCACAGAAAGACCACAGCAGAAAAGAGCAGCTTTAACATGCCTCTCAGTTTAAATAATGTCTTTACTTATTGCCAGAGAGGGAGAGAAAAGAATCAGGAAATCTTAGGAGCTACATTTGAACTCACATCACCTGTACTGTATGAGCACCACAGCTCAATGTGTCAGAGCCACTCTCTCTCTCTCTCTCTCTCTCTCTCTCTCTCTCTCTCTAGCCGATCTCTCTCAGTGTTTGTCTCATACTTGGAGCCCTCTATGTAGTCCATTTGTTGCAAACAATCAAGGTGTGGCTCTCATAATCAATAGGATCCTTGTTAGAACTTGCATGGGTTCTGTCGTTGTAGGGCATTGATTTACCCTTCACAGCCGATTGCACTACATTTACCCAGCAGCATGTTCAAATGAGTGCCCTACTGCTCTCTACCAATTAGTTTCCCTGCAACTATAGCACTGCGGCAGTCAAAGGGTTCATTACCTTGATTTTCAGTCTTCCACACGTAGCATGTAGCTCTTGTGCAGTCCAGCATGCACTAGCACTTTCAGAGGGATATTGAGAACGAGGGTCTTGCCATTGAACCTAATGTGTTTGTAGTAATGAACTTTCTGAGAATGTGATTGCATAGTGTGCGTTAGATTAGCATACGCTGGAACTGCAGAAGTGGACATGGCCACTGTCTAGAGGTTGAGTCACACTGCACTCTCAAGCGCGGTCCATTGTGTCTAGTAATGCTGCTTTTCCTAATGTGCTATTTTGTGATTCATTCATTCACATTAAAAATTCCTCTGAAGAGCTATTTTCCTAGTCAAACATTGTGCTTTGCTTTTTCATGTAACATCTGATCTCTCCCAATGTTAAGGCCATTTTAAAAGCATGCACAAACTTTGATATAAAAGACTCCTTCATTAAAAATGCCACCGGGCTCCCTGAGTAATATTTTTAGGGCAATTAATGGATCCATTTACATGCTAATGTTAGCATGACTGGGAGGGTACTGTATTGCTACATGCATTAATGTAAGCTAAAACATCCTTGGCGCTCTCTATTGTCCTTGAAGTGGAACGCCTAATGTCCTCTGTCTTAAATACCATGGGGGGTGGGGGCACCCTGGCAAAGGGGCACCAATGCATCTTGGAAGTGTAATGATTGTGCCTGGGGCCCCGGCAATCCCTGAGAGATCAGTGAGCTATAGGACTGCAGGCAACCAGGTGGAGTAGGAAAAAACAGTGCGCAACAGGGGTCAGTATCAACCCGGAATGCAATTTCAACACACCCATCTTTAAGAGATTTAATATCTGTTAAAAGACACAGAGACTTGGTCAGGGCCCAAGGATTTTTTTTTCTTTTTGCTGGTGAGGGTCAGTGGTTCTTATTTCTATTTGCCCTGCCAACATTTCCAGTGGCCCCACCACAAAATAATGATAATATTTTATTTTTAGTGATTTATATTTGCTAGAAATATTAATATTTTTGTCAAAAATTAAAGTAGCGACTGATCATTTCTTCTGTATTGTGACGTACAGTGAAAAAACATAGGACAGGGACTAAAGTCAGAACTAATTAAAAAGATACATCTGCATGGATTATCAGTTTACAGTAACATAAACAACATGCATTAAAATATATAAGGTTAATTTTTATTGCATTATGATTTTAATTGTTATATTCTTTACAGTTGCAATTTCTTTTTTGACAAACTGGAAATAACTCAACTCCAGCTAACTCCATTCACACTTTTGTTGGTATTTGCTTTCAAGACTAGTCATTTTGATAACAAATCAGCAGAATTGAAAAGATTTCGAGGCAAAAAAAAAAAAGGGTGTATAAGCTCAATTAATGCAAAAAATAATAATTTTCTAACAAACAATGTGCATCACTTTTCCTGTTACATTTGATGTTTCCCAATGTTAAGGCCATTTTAAAACTTGAAAATATAAAACTAACTCCATATATTCATAAACATACTTTTGCTGGTATTTGCTTTACACACAATGCCAGGCATTACTAACTGGTTTGTCATTTTTAACACATTATGTGGCAAATCAACAGAATTTGAAACAAGAATGCAAAAGTAAATGTTTACATTTGCAAGGCATAAAAATGGATACAAGCAAAATTCTTAGAGGCAACACAGCATTGGTCTGAAAGGGATTGCTTCATCAAACTCTCTCACGCTCTCTCACACTGGCCCTGGGTGTGTGAACCATCCTTATTGTTGAGTCCCATTGGTGTTATTGATTACATTTCTTATTGAACCTGTGCAAAAATGTCTGTTAACCATTAAGCAAGTTTGATATTCAATATCAAGTCAATCAAAGTCTCTTTTAAATATCTGTTTGTACCTCAGCAGTATTTCCCCACCCTGTTTGCTTGCCCTTTACACTCTGTCTCTGATTGTTACCTTTGAGCCCCCTCAAATGTTAGCGTTGTGTTTTAAACCACAGTGACACTTAATCCAATGTATTTCAACACCACTTTGAAATCTCCTGAACTGACTAAAATGCCAGTCCATTGCCTTTGAGAGGAATTTGTCCAAGTTACCCATTTTTCTCTCTTGGATTTTAACCCTCAATAGAGCAAACACCTTTCCTTTCTCTCTCTCTGGCAACCCAAACCATAGTTGGGTAGATCCGGCAAGACTTTATTTCACTGGATTCGATCACAGCAAACAAAAGCTGCCCTGTCCACTTCATCCCCAGATGTTTTGTATTGATCTCCCTGTGGTTTTGGCAGGGTGGAGCGGCTGGGATTGTTGCTCCCCTTTTCTCTTTTTTCTTTGCAGACAGAATTAGAAAACAAAGGAGAAGGAAAAGTCTGTGGGTGTTTTTGGCTCCATGGTGAGTGTCTGCTGGGCGTAGTGTCACATTTCAGGCAGAAGTGCGGCTGGCCTTGCTCACTTTGTTATCTCACTCTCTCTTCCCCTTACCCTATCCCTCCCTACACTCCCTGATTAATAATGCAGAGTGTCTCTTTATCTAATGTTCGGCTGTAGGTGAGTGCTGCGGATGGGCCGGTGAGGAGTGTACCTGTCTGCCTTCGAGGCTCAGAGATCTGGCTGATGGCCTAATGCTGGGAGGCATGAGGAGGAAATGGACAGCAGAGAAGTATAGCAATTCATACATGCATAGACAATGTCTGGATAGTCCAAGGCTGCCCAGAGAAAACTTTTATTGCTCAGAGATTGCTCTTTTATAACTTGGACACTTATTGGAGTTTTCCGTTAAAGGAACATTTGAACATTGTTCAAGGAACAATACAAATTAATCTCTAACCACAGCATTTGTGGCATAAGGTTGAATAGTAAAAAAAAAAAAAAAAGCTCCTTAAAGAAAAGAAAAAAGGGGGGGAAATCAATGTCATGGTGACCCACTTATAATGTTGAATGGGGGCTAATTTTGTCAGGATTTAAAAGCAGAAATTTGAAGACTATAATTTTCTGAAAGCTTAGTCAGGGTATTTTCTGTTAAAACCTGTGTATTATTTGAGCTCCATTCAAAAGAAGGGACAAGTGAAAATACTTTTTGTTGCAATCAACATTATGCTAAAGGTGCTGTTGAATGAAAATGTATTAAACCCAGAATATCCTTTTACTTCATGTATGGTCTTTGTCTCAGACTTTTCCTCAGACAGTAAACCCAAATGAAGCAATTCTTGACAGATCATAAGAATGCATAGAGCTATAAAACTAACATGAACCACATAGCAACATAGATTATTTGGTTTTGGAAAAATTTGTTGAGAATGTTTTTGTTCATATTGAAATCTCTGGCTTTGCTCTGGCTTTGCTGATATCTTGACAAATCTGTTGAGACATTGTTGAGATCTCATCTCTAACTCTAAACAATACTGGGGTATTTTTGCAAAAAAGGCTTAATGGAAAAATGGGCCTCTACCTATATTTTTGAATAAACTCCAAAAACATATGTATACATTCACTGAAGTTTCTAGCTAAATTTAACACTAGTGGCAGTAATGTAAAAACAGTAATGTAAAAAAACATTTATTCCTTTTCACACATATTATGATTACAGTGGCAGATTATCAATTAATAAAGACTTATTTTTAAGTGTTTCATTGCATTATACTGTGGTATAACCTAAAAAAAAATTTAGCATAGTGCATGATTTGTAAACGAATACATTTATACAACTGCATCATATAACCAGCTCCATATTCATGTTTTTTTTGGCATAGTAAACTTGCTTGATAGCTCACCTGGTACGGCAATCCACATTACTCTTTTAATGCCGCTCACTGGATATTTCACTTTGTATATGTTGCGAAATGTACATGAAGCAACATAATATAATTTCACAGAAATTTCACCACAGACACATTTGTTTTCCAATTAGACTTGGTTGTATTTTTCTCAGAGAAAGAGAAGACTTAATTAAAAGTTGTTGTTTAGGTGAAACAAATGAAAAATTAAGTCTTTTTTTTATCTTAAAATGCTTTCTCCTACTCCAGTTTAATATACAGGGACAACTCTAAGTAATTGATATGTTGATTTCCCGAAAATATAGTAAAAATTACTCAACCAATGGCGTAAGAGTGTGGCTGTTTGTCTGACCAATGGAATGGCATTTTGGCTCTGAATTGTTTTAGATGGAGTGTAACATTTAACCATGGAATGTTAATGGCATTTGTCTTGCACAGGGCGTTGGTGTTATGAAGCAAGCGCACTCCCATTGTCTCATCCCATATAAGTTAGTAAGTCCCTTTCCATCCTCTGAAATAGCAGTGAAGCGCTGAAAGAAACAGCTCAAGTGGAACAGCATGGAGCCGAGGTAAGTGCACCAGATTTACAGCTGTATATGCAAGACCTTAGACTCATACCCTCACCCACGTCATGTTTCAATAACCCTTCATGGCAGTGCTCTATAAAGGGCTGTCAGCTTAACAAACAATCCGCTGCGACACAAAATATCTATGAAAACGTACACGAGCTACACCAAAAGAACACCAAATCTGTGATAGATATGACTGGAACGATCACAACTGTTCATTCCATGCTTGGTGAATAGGGTTTTCAGACTCATTAACCCAGCGCTAATATTCAGAGCTAAGTCACTAGGAGAAGCTCGTCATTTCTCCCTCTCTGCGTCAATGTGATTTTCTTTATCTGTCAGAGTGCAGCTTGCACATGGAATCTGCCCCGAGTACACGACTGCTCCAGTGTGGGTGGAGAGTGGGCGAAGGTGTGTGGCATCTGCCACAGTCCACCGCCTGAGGAGAAATAGCAACACTTCACATTCAAACTCACTTCCACTGCAGCCTTCACATTGTTAGGCACTGGATAGATTGAAAGTGAATACCGTGTTTCAGTGAATCATTTTCTTTGGCCAGGCTTTACTCTCCACCTTCGACATTTCCTTACAGCGCACATTCAGGACGGTGAAGAGGAGGTGGAGAATGGATCATAAAAGCTTCGAGCACACTATTTACACACAGAAAACAGTAGTTAGTTTGGATGAAATATTATCTTCAGGCATTCATTGATAAACGATCATTTTCAGGTTTGTTTTCGAGCTTTTAAGTGAAATACTTTTTCCATTCGTTATTTCTTTATAGATTCTTTAGATATGAAAGCAATATAAATGGATATATCAGGAAAGAATATTTTGTGAATATATTTCTGAAAGAAATGCTTTCTGTTGAGGTTACAGGACATTACTAGGTATTTTAAGGCCTCAAGTGTCATTTTCTTGTATAAATGTTATATATATATATATATATATATATATATATATACATCTATCTATCATCGCTATATACAGTATATGTGCGTGCGTGCGTGTGTGTGTTTTCCAATTTTGTTTACTGGACACTTACCATATAAACTATACCAAAGTTTGCATGATTGAAATAATTGTTCAATAATATGTACTCACAACGATTAGTGGAATATGGTTTATATATTATAATGAAATATGATCACTATGTGTTTATTATGAAAATTGTATTTTGAGTCCTAGAACATTTAGAAAAAACACACAAAATGGACACCACTGTCCATTTCATAGTTGCCAAAAATGTTGCATGGAATTCATTAAATGCACTGTTTAGATTTACAAATACGAACCCCCAATCTGAAAACCAGTGACTCCACAGTGAATTTTTTGACTTGGGATACTCCCAGAAGTAACATAAATTGGTGTTTTATTCTCATTCTGGCCCAGGCTTTGGCATCCTCCTGCCAAAACTTTCTCATAAACACACTTCCATTTTGACGTCCAGCCAGTGTCCTATTTCATAATGTCCCCTTCTTCCCAATATTCATATAAATATCTGCTTATTTTCTGCCCAAATGTGTTGCATTAACACTCAAACACTGTCACAAACTTACACAAACCACAAGATTTATTGTCCAAAGTTCATGTCATCACTTCAGTTTGAAGTGTCGGAGAATCATGGCATGGGAGACATTTTGTTATTGCTATTCTACATTCTAATATTTATGATAACACACTATATTGGAACTAACTAGTTTTAATATTGTCTTAACAAATTTTATGTAGCAAACCTCTTTTGCTTTCTTTAAAACAATAGCTTTTAGCTTAGCTAATTGTTTTCTGCTGGTATAGTTGGTAGTTTAGCTTGAGTAATGTAGCTGGCTCAACACTTGTCTCATGTTACGTTTTCATAATACTGATTCTGTTTGCAGTAAGACAGACTGCACAAATCTTTTATTCTCAGGGGCATTTCTGTTATTGTTAATTAGCGCGCTATCCAAGTAGAAATCCATGAGGTTGTTTTGATTGTGCTGTCCTGTTCACTGCTTTGTGTATATCATACTGATGCCTCAGAGGTCTCATGTTTACATATAGCAAATCATCAAGAAAAATAAATGACAGATTTAGAATCTACATAATCATAATGTAGCTAATGCTAATTTTCATATGGTCACGTAAACTCTATAAGAGGTGTGTCGTTGAATACATTTCACTGAAATGTTATATTAATTTGTAGTGGATACTCTGTAACAGTTTATGTCCGAATACTAGAAACTTTTTAATGTTAATTGGATGCCTATTACTCTGAAGCTGCTTTTATTTCAACAGTGAGAGTAGAGGAGACTAAACTACGGTCTTCTGACAAACCTTTGTGCTGTATGGTGTGGATGCTGCTGCATAACAGAAATTTCTTGAAAAAAATTTAAATCAGTAAAATTAGGAGAACACTTATTTCCCCCCGCTACTGCTGATCATGCACACAATTTCACTCAAAGTGTGCCACTGGATAAATTGACTCCACGCTTGTCAAGGCATCAATTATTCAGCGGCTGAGCCTTTCAGCACCGCCATCATGTCCCTCTCATTTGATTTGGAGGACAGGAGAGGCGAACGGTGCCGGGGCGAGTCTGGCGGAGCGTGGCGGGAAGTGGCAGAGACTCCTGTCTGATTGCAGCGCGAGGACCACCCGAGTGTTCATTAAACCCCAAAAAGTACATGCAGGCAAAGAGGACGATAACAAGACCCTTGAGCTGCTCGTACCCGGCTCTCTCACACTTCAGGAAGCCAATAAATATTCTCCTGCTCTCCCTCTTGCACAAACAGGCATGTCAAACGCAACTAACGAGTCAGCAAAATAGGCGATCCTTGTCCCTGCGGTGAGAGCCGCGGCTACTTTCATTTGTTCTATAATTTGGAGCTCCTGCAAAAGGATTAATAGACCCCGAGTCGTTGTAAAGGGTTGAGACATGGCCTCTGTGTCCAAGAGTGACATCACAGACACAAGTTATTGTTCCCATCCAGGCTGCAAAATGAACCTTTTTGCCACACCTAATGAGAAGTAAATTGAGATGTCGGCATATTTCTTAGCGACCATGAAACTGTATTTTGAATCATTTGGGTTCAATGACAATGGAATAATTATGTTTCTTTTTGTTTGTTTTCAGTAACAAGCCACTGTGCCTGCCACAAAAATGCAACTTTGTGAAGTAAGTTTTGTCACCACTGTGAATGCATTAGGAAGAATATGTTTCTTACAGAATCTACAGTGCAAATCAGAGTAGTCCAGTACAGAATGAACGACTTTCATGATATGGTTATTTTTAGTCAATCAAACACACACACGGCAAGAACAGTGTAGTCTGACTCCTGAATAAATGACTCATATGAGCCTACTCATTTTAATGACGGTGCATTTAAGTACACATAAAGCTTCTTTGAATTGAACTGCACGTTACAGTGATGGTCAGATTATGATTTGTACTGGATTTAAACCATGTAGTTTGCAGTTTTTTTATTGATGCAGTGTTATTTATATTCTATTTATATAGTATTAGGTTTTATTTTTATATTATCTCTTTTCATTTTCATTTTATTTTATGTTTTAGTAATTTATACACTTTTTGCTTTTGTCATTTTTATTAGTTTGGGGAGGGGGTAAATATTTATATTTAGCGTTCAATTATTTGTATTTCAGTTTTAGATTTACTGTAGTTATTTTAGTATTTCATCTTAAACTTGTTTGACTTATATTTTAGTTAGTTGCTGAAATAACTATGTAAGTTTTTATTTCATATTTTGTTTTATTACAGCTTTATTTCAATTCACAAAATGTATTTATTTATTTCTGTTTAAGTTAACAATAACAACACTGAACTGGTGAATAAGTCGTCTGATTATATAAGTTATATATTTGGTGCTTGGCGGGTGTTACTTTTGTATACTTCATAGTCCTTTACATTGCTGTGCTGTAACAGATCTTGAATCCCACTATTCCCTGGATTAAAGCAGAGTGAGGTCAGCATGTTGCCTTAACTCAGGCAAGAAAACTCTACGGAGTGTAATATGAATAATGAAGTTGTCCCCTGAGCCACTAATATGACCTCAGGGCTGTGGTCCAAACAGTTTGCCTCAGTGTTTGGGTGTAGTCGACCCGGGGTATCCTTCAGACCCTGCAGCCACTGAAATGAAAGCTGTCTCACTGCGGTTAGTAAAATAGTTGGACAATGAGAGCATGTGGTGGCCATGACTCAAGGCAGTCAGGGTGAGCGATGGAACTGCTGAGCTCTGGAGGACAAAGGAGAGAGAATCAGCAAGAAAACACACACTGACCTGGTTTAAATTTACATGCAAGGAGTTTTGCTTGTTGTGTAACATGATTAGTTACAAAAAATTTATGCCAACAGTAGGGTGTAATCTGTGACCAAATACTGTATCACCGCATGTATCTCATTTTATGACTGCTGCTCAACTTAATGTGTCATTAAATGTGATTGTGTATCTTTTTATGACCTATTGTTTTATTGTATATAATAGTAAGGTTTGGTCATATTTAGATAAGATCGCAACTCATGCAATTGATATCTAACACATCTTTCATACTGTCATCTCTTCAGGTTTCAGATGTTACGAGAACAGCTGGCAGTCTCAGTTATTTGACTGCCATAATACAGTCTGAAGTCTTTATTGGATTACATAACACTTCTGGCAACATTTGGGAGCACAAAACGTGGAATAATATTATAAGCTCCCTGATTGGTGAGTAGATCTTAATCCCCGCCCACATTCCACAGTGACTGCTCGCTCTGAGAGCTTCATGTTTTTCCTGGCTAATTACACCACTAGCACATTCCAATATCAATATCACCATACGCTCCACATCAATAAAACACAATTTTTTTCTTACCTGAATCTGCTCTGAGGTTTCCTTTCACTCCTAACTCTTTCAGTTTTCATGAGTCTCTTTGCTTCATTTTAGGGGAAGGAATTTCATAGTGGTAGTCGTCAGAACAAAGTCTGAAAGCAATCTTTTGTTTCAGAGTATCTTAATTTATCAGGAGCTAGAAGCTTGTCAGAGTTTGGAAAACAGAAGTCTCTCATATTTTCTAAGCTCTGCCGACTCCATGCGGGGAATAGGATGGGTTTCATAAATCTCTGAGCCAAGTTCCTTTGAGTCCATTGGGGGGCCAGGCATCAGCCATGACTCAGTCTTTCAAGTGTAACTCGAGCCAGGACATCTGCATCGCTCGAGAGGAGGGTACTGAGGCGCTGATTTGGAACACTCAGCGTCGGGAATTTTGGGAAGCAGTGATGCCTATCAATGACCCACTTTGATTCAGAGATGCTAATTTGTTATTTGTTGCCACAAGATGTTGTTTTTGTGTTACTGATTGTCAGTGGAGCCACTGGTTTTAAGAGGAGACAAGAAAAGCAAGCTTTCTGTCATTGTTTTCCTCAGGTGCTTCCATAGCCCATGCTAATGTTCACAGCCAGAGGGAAGCTGTGTCTGCTGTCTGAGATAGCAACAGATAGCATTATTGCAACACCTTGGTAAAAGTGGAGAATTATTACACCACTTTACTATTATAGTATTCATTTGTTTTTCTGTCCTAAGCTTTAAGAAAACACTGGAGAGGTTTTGTGGTCCTTTAGATTTTAAACGTGGTTTGTTTACACTCTTAAAAATAAAGATTCTTTATTGGAATAAATGTTGTTCCACCTATAACATCCAGGGAAACTCTCCATTGCACTAAAGGTTTTTTTAGGTGGAATAGGTTCAACAATATTCTTCACACTAAGAAAAATGGTTCTTTTAAGAACTATTCAATGAAAGACTCTTTTGGTAACACTATGTGGAAAAACATAATCTCTCTTTAACTTCACATTTAGCATTGTATCAAAAATAAAATCTAGGGTGTTGCCAAGGTGTGGTTGCTAGGTAGTGGTTTAACGGTGCAAGTCAAAATTCTCTGATGCCCATTTTTCTCTCAACAGGGTGCCCAGTGCATGCATTTCCCCAGAAAAAGGACAATTTCCAATCTGGCAACAGTGCACAACACATTCAATTGATGTGCATTGCGTTCCTATGTACATGTTGCTGTGGCCACTTTATTTTTCCCATCTTTGACATGAAGGAAAACAGCTGAATAAAAAGTTTCTTAAGACTCCTGGTAAAAGTACATGATGCGTTTTTGTTATTCAAATAACTAAAATAACCTATTTAATTTTTTAAGACTTTAACTAAAGCCTGGGATGCATAAATTCTGCACAGATTTTTGCCCCTATTTACAGTTTGGAGGAGTCCAATTTCACAAAAATTCACATAGTCAGACTATGATAGTTTCAGACTGTGATTACCTCCAGTTGGATGATATCAAATGTATTTGATATTTTGAACCAATATTAGAATGCTATTTTTGGCACACTAGTTTGTTTAGTGGCACAAATTTGTTGTGGTTGTAATGACTTTAAAGACATGACAATGTGATCCTCAGTCATTTAGTGTACAGCTCTGAAACCATTTTCGGCAAGTGTATGATGGAAGTTGTGTAGTGTATTCCAGCCTTAACTTGCTCGGCATGATTTTCTTCCAACTGTTGCTACACCATGATATTACCATCAAAAATGTAATTTCACGCTAATTCTCAGAAGACATTTTTACATCAGTTCTTGCTATAACACACTTTGCAGCATCTTGCTTAGCTAAAAAAAAGTTTACACTGATGTAATTGCATAAAATATGTTGTAGGCCTAATACTTCAGGTTAGGAGTTTGTTCTAGTTTGTTATAAACTCCTAACGCTAAGTATTAGAAATTATAATATATACACATTTTTTGTCAAATGTAGCAGGATATATTTGTAATCGATGGTTCTCTCATACTAGACCTTCCAGTGGAGGCACATGTAGACAGGAAGTTGCAAGCATAATCGCTCACATTTTATTGTGTCTCTCCATTTTCTGCTAACAGTGCCCGTGTGTGTCTTTGTGCAATCCTGTCAGTGTGTGACCTCCCGTGTCCTAGAGTCCTGCCACCACACCCCCCAGCTCTCAGCATGTCTATTCCACCCTAGACAGGAGCCAGGTTGCCAGAGCTACGCTACTCCCACCCATTAGCTGCAGGAATCCAACATAACCATGGTAACAAGTCTCTCACCCCAGGGGAGATGAGCAACAGAACTGAAAGACTCCATTCAATTTCCACATCCCCAGTCCACTAGGGCTGACAGCCTCTCATCGTTTGTGTTGCAGTGGGCAGGGGTATGTGCTCATTAAAAAAGCCAACACACACTCGCTCTCTCTCTATACACAAGTCCGTGGACACACACTGCCGTACATGCGCTTCGCATTATCTTCCCATTAGACCGCATCCTTCCTTACCATTTGAATGCTTGGAATTGCGTCTGCCCACTTAGCCTGACAGAAGATAAGCTGTGTTTTAGGGCTGTGTTTCCACCCCCAGTATTAATGGAGTGTCAGTCTGTACACCTAAAGATGCTAGATCAATACTCTTATTCACCATTGCTGCCCCTTCCTAATAATTCAGATCTGTGTCCATACAAAGATATCTGTAATGTAGTTGCTGACTCACATTTGTTGTGTTATTTCAGCGATCAAACAGTAATACGAACTGTTATGGAGAAATTAAAAATGGCCCAGTACCCACACCTGAGGCACACCGGCCTCCTTTGGAAGCATATGCCTGTATAATCTGTGGTTATTAATCCGTAGTTTATCTATTTGCAGTTAGTCACCACAATATTTAGAGACACATCTACTCCCTCATGCGATGATGGCATTGGAGCACATGCTTCAAATGTACCTCAATGAATCCGTGCTGATGAGATCCAGAAAAGGTTAATGAAGCACAATGGGAAATCAGCCCTCCTCCACTAGTGCTGTGAAGAGGCTAAAGGAGTTCTCTCTAGGTGGAGTGGGAGAGAGCAGTTTCAGGTTCTCTCCAGTGAGCAATGAAGCAGCAGTGCCCACACTGCCTGAATCAAAGCCCAGCCCAGCCCAGCCCCAGTGCGCAGGGAAACCATGCAGACTTTCAATTATTAGTCAGGCTGGGGACTGGAGACTGGAAGCAAGTGGTAAGAAACTCTGCTGCCGAAACTCCATATATCAGTTACTCTACTTTTTTTAAGGCAAAATAGATGTTAGGAATAGAAAATGATAAGACTGGAGAAACGTGGACTAGTTTTAGGTTGTTTTTTTTAAGAGAAACTGTAATGGTCAGCTGGCCCTTATAGTGAATCATTTAAAAAGACTCAAACTCATGAACCATTACTGTGTGAATCAGTCTAACAAATCCCTCTTTAATTTAATAGTCTGTCAAGTTATAGAACAAATTCAGAGCTTTCTTTTCTTAGTCTCATTGACTTTCATTGTATTTTTTCTCCATACTATGGAAGTCAATGGGGGCCAACAACTGGTTGGTTACCCACATTCTTTAAAATATCTTCTTTTATGTTCAACAGAGGAAAGACACTCATACAGGTTTGGAACAACTTGAGGGTGAGTAAAAAAATGTCATTTTTAAGGTTAACTATCCCTTTAAAACAATTTTACACTGGAACTGCTACTTTAAACTTTTGTTTTTGGTTATGATGATTATTATGTTGTTAATATTTAACATTAATATTTTCATAAAGTTATAGAAGGATCCCTGGATAAATTACAGCAACAGCTAAAAGAGGATGTCTTTTTTAAATATAAGCAAAATGCACACTGCAACTCAAATGAACTGGAATTCAAATCAAGAGCTCGTGAATTGAAATTTAACCAAGAAATGTATAACAACACTCGGCCTTACTTGGAGGGCATTTACACTTGTTCTTCTCATGATCAGATAACTATCTGCCTAAGAGTAGCACCAGTTAATGCCCTATAAATCACCTCTCATCCCTCTTATAAATAGTGCTTGATGACACTGGTTCCTCCTTCAGAAACAGAAAGTAACTGGTCTGGGGTGGAGGCAGTGAGAGAGTGAAATAAAGATAAACAGAGAGAGTGAAAGATAGAGCAAGCACATGGGCTCGTGGCCAGATATGTGAAACCTAAGTGAGCCTGACCATTACGCCTCAGTGCTTTCTCTAGAAACCTCATCTGGAAAGTTCAGCATCTGTACAAAGCAACTTCAATGATCTTAAAGGCCCCAAAAAGTGTGAGATATTAGGTGTTTGTGTGAGCATGATGAGAGCTGCTGAGTTGTGGTGTAAGGGTGGAGGGGGTTTGTTATTAGTTAGAAGGGTGTGGTGTCAGCGCTATGAGATGTTGGTGGGTTGTGAAATTAGTTGAGGGTGCGTCCATCGTTGCACTCCTTTACAATGTTGTCTACTCAGCAGAGCTTGCGCAAGTTTGTCCACATGATAGTTGCACCTTGTTTTCAAACAGATGGGCCAATCAAAGGACTTCAAAACAGGCTTTTAACACTGCTCCTCCCAAGGCAAAGTTCAATCCAGACATGCGACGTGGGAGATGAGCAACAGTCTATCAGCAGTGGCTGGACCAATGTAGAAAGGAACAGGGCAGAACAACAAATATTTGGCAGCCGTTCTTTCTCTTTTGTTTTTTGTCAATGTAAACAATGGGTCTTGATCTGGTTTGGTGAAAGGATAATTTGATTAAAAAGGGAGTAGATAGAATATTCCATGTCTGTCTTTTGGGATCAGGTCCCATTTGTCATGAAAACTTACCTCAGCTAGAAAATTGATTTTCATTAGAATGAAGTAATTAAGGTTATTGTTGATGTCAGTGTAAAAACATACATGTTGCCAAACCAACATGTATGATATGTTTCTGTCCCTAATAAACAGTGAGATTTATGACTGAAAGAATACTTATATTTTTCCCTATTTAT